AGTATTGATATATTGGAGTGTGTGTGTGAAAGTAGCTGTGAGAAATTTATTATTTTCATTATTTTGTTCAATTTATCTATATATATATATATATATATATATATATATATATATATATATATATACATGTATATAGTATTTCCATTATGATCATAACTACTGGTAGTTACTATAGTGGTTTTATAATCCCTTCCCATCTATGAACAATCAGCTTTAACGGACCACCACTTCCTCCTATTAGTGTATATATATATATATATATATATAATATATATATTCTGATGCCTTCCCTATTCCTTCACATATGTTTTACATTTTTGATTTCTTTCATTTTTTTTCCTTTCTTATTATCCTTACTTATGAAGGTTTTTAGATTTAATTTATATTCATTCATTATATATTTTCCTTTTCAGCAAAATATTAAACTCAATCAATGTTGTTAAGGAAAGTAATATGTGAAGCAATAGCATGCAGAGTTTGGTGCAGAATGTTTTTACATTCGAAATGAATGTTGATCGAACATTGCTTGCGAAGGTTTATATTGCATTTTTTTTTTTTTTTTTTATGAATACAAACTGTTTCCTTTTTGTAGCTCACAGTATGTCTGGAAAGAGAAAATGAGACCAGTCCTTCTTTGTACTAGGCAGTAGTCCTGATTGGAAGATATTGGACCAACTTGTACATTTTTCTGCTAAAAGAGTAGAGAATTGTCTTTGAAGCCCTGTTTTCTTTGGTTTATATTGAGTTTAGTGAATGCAGTGAGTGTGAGTAGGATTGTTCTTCACTTTGGTACAGGGTTTTGATCTTTTGTTTTGCTTATCCAAATATCCAGTTCCAGAAACAAAGTTAGCTGATTGATCTGTCCTTAATAATGCTGGTGTTAATGTTAATGAAGTGCTAAGATAAGTCAGTGATATGTATTATTTTACTCATTATACTTAGCTTACTACTACAAGCACAAGAAAAATATCAAATATACAATGTAGTATTTAGTAAAATGTCTCTTTGAAAGTACCGTCCTGGGTATGACAATAAACTACATCCGCATCCTGGGTAAGATGATAAACGACACCTGACAGCAAGGCCTTTTGACCAGGAGGTTTTGAGGAACATGGAACCACCACTTAATTGCTGGTGTTCCCAGGTCCACCCTGAACCGGGGTGGTAGCACATGTCATGGTCCCAGCTATGGGGCAAATGGTTACCCCTGCCCCCAAAGGGTCGAAACACTGACATTTTTGAAAAAGAAAAAAATATTACCAGTAATACATTTTTGAAAAAAAAAAAAAAATTATTACCAAAAATAAAGTCTTGTTGGTATTAAATAACCCATTGAGGTTGATGATATGCTGTAAAACAAACCAAACTAAACCTTTGAAAGTAATATGCTAATGTTTAAGAGATTTTTTTTTTTGTGATCATAAATTTTGTGACTGATCGTGGACAAAAATTCAGTCTAGTGGAAGTACGATTTTATTCGGCCACTATATATATATAATTTTTTTTTTTTTTTTTTTTTTTTTAAACCATATCTCCTTTGGGATGTATTAATACATTGATATGTTTTTTTTTTCACAAAGTAATTTAATCAAAAAATTTACTCTGTCTGCAACTAATTTTCTGCAAGCAATGTAGACCTTCACATTTTTTAAATTACAAAGGCCTGGTCTGTGTGCTCTGCCTCAGCAAAAGTGTTGCTCTCTGGTAATTCTGACTAGAATTAGAATGTAGTATCTGTGCACTGTGTGAAAAATGCTGTGCACACACAATATCAAAAATGAACACTGAGGTCAACACTAAGTGGTGACAGTTTGATGTCTGCATTCAATCTTTAGTCCATGAAACAGATTGTTGCAACTGTGTTGACTTCAATCTTCACTTTTATTTTTAAATACACTCTATCCCTGATATTAAGCACTTAATACAAATATATAAATATAGCCGACCTTAAAACTATTTTTTTCATCAAAATACAGGGTGCGATGGATAAATTGTCGTCTAAATTATACGAAAATGAAAATAATTTTGACACCTCATTTTAACATATATTCACCAAAATTATACAAAAATGTCTTGAAATACTAAAGAGTAAAGCTATCCAATAAAGCTGGCATTAGCTTCAACCACGGCATGCAAACAACTTCAGAATCTCCTGCAACTCTTCTGGGTGGTCTCCTTGTTTAAGTTGGTGAATGCTGCCATAATCCTTGCCTTCAGTTTATCTTTGATGTTACAAGGAGTTTTGTTCGTCTCTTGCTCAACAGCGCCCCACACATAATAATCAAGTGGGTTGCAGTCTGCGGAGTTATGTGACCGAATGTAAGGAGTGATGTGGTTGCAGAAATTGTCTGACAGCTATGACTGAGTTCTGCTTGCAGTAGCCAACCTCTTGACCCAGAGCAACACTACCTCCTCAAGGCACTTGATGTAGGCCTCTGTGTTGAATCTGAGCCCCTGAACGTCACCATCACTATTGATTACTTTATAATCACCATTAGGCTCATCTGACTCTTTCCAAATACTCTGCACTTTACCTCAGATTAACAACCAAACACTCTAATGTTCGTATTAGCACTTCCAGCATGAATGTAAAGCAGTGCAGCATGCCATTTCCAAATTTCTGGTGGAGTGAATTGTGCTCTTTTTCTCACATACAGTGCCCAGCTGACCCTACTATCCTGTGCAGTGAAAAATCAAAAGCAACATGCATGCACAAAATTAAAAATATAAAATGGCAACAATTTACCTATTGCATTTTATATATATATATATATATATATATATATAATAATAAAAAGCTTAAACACTAATATTCCATGGTCATAATTTATTCCATTGGAATAAAAAGGCTTAAACACTAATATTCCATGGTCATAATTCATCAGACCTACAAATTCAAAATTTTTGAATTTGTAGGTCTGATGAATTGGATCGTATTTACGATTCCAATGGAATAAATTATGACCATGGAATATTAGTGTTTAAGCCTTTTTATTATATCCTTACTCTGTCCTAGACATTGAGTTCTACCTGGATTCTTCCTCTTGGAATTTTTTTCTGAAAATATACATGTATGGGTATATATATATATATATATATATATATATATATATATATATATATTTAGACATTTTTATGTTTAACGTTCTTTTTATAGATACAAGTATTTAAGTAAATGCTCTGTTTTATAATAAACAGTATTAAATAACATTTACCGGCCTGAATGTCCAAGAAATTTTCATAGAAAATATTCGTCCTTTGACAGGATTCAAACCTGCATCCTATACGGAACTGTCATTTACGCTGACGTGCCTTTTAACCGTCTAATTTGACAAAAGGAAAATTTGGTAGGCAAGGTTGAATTTACTGCTTATAAACTTCAATCTTCCATAAAAAATTCATATTATAAAATAAACAGATAATAAAACCATTTCTACCTTATATATTATTGGCATAACATCATAATAAATTGCCTATTTCAAGAATAATTCCATATCAATGAAATCAACCTGTATCCATGCAAGCTCAGCTGAGAAAATGTAAACATCGAATTATGATTGCCTTTCTCAGCAGCTTTTATCTTTCGCTAAACTTTGAATAATCATTATGGTGGTTTTAATTACATCAACATTTAGGATAACGTAATATTCATTTCTTGTTAGAAATACATTATCATACTGTTATTAGTGATATTTTGTGATTGTTGAAGTATAAGTAAATGGCCATTAGTACATCAGGCTGCTTGTAACTGTTTAGATATAGGAAAAGAAGAGGAAGAGATCACATGAGGAAACATAAACAAAACAATAGTTTCCCTTTTAGGGGACGTGTGTAGGAAAAAATACAATTTAGAATCTGTTTTTTAATTTTTTTTATTTTTTATTTTGTATCTCCAAGGATACAGTAAGTAACAACATTTTCAATAGAATCATATTTATATAATCAATAAGCAGTCATCTTATACTACAGGTATAGGATAAATTCATGAAAATTTGCTATTTCTTTTTTTGTCTTATATAAAGGTCGCCTTATACATGGAAATATATGGTGTGTGTGTGTAATGTGTGTGTGTGTAAAGATGTAATCATCAAGTTATGATTGAATTTATAGCAAGAGTATGCACTATTACAATAATAGTGCATACTCTTGCTATAAATTCAATCATAACTTGATGATTACATCTTTACTGTTATTAGCAGTATTTTGTGATTGTTGATGAAGTATAAGTAAATGGACATGGGTACACCAGGCTGTTTGTAACGGGTTAGATATAGGAGAATAATCAGTATTCACAAGATATCACATGTTGAAACGTAAACAAAACAATGGTTTGCCCTTTTAGGGGACGTGTGAAGGAAAAACACTATATAGAATCAGTTTTGTTATTTCGTTTATTTTGAATTTCTAAGGATACAGTAAGTAAGAACGTTTCCAATAACATCTTTATATAGTCAATAAGGAGTTGTCTTATACTACAGGGATAAGATAAATTTATGAAAATTAGCTATTTTTTTTTTTTTTTTTTTTACCTTGTCTTATCTAAAGATTGCCTTATATGCAGAGATATATAGTAATTACATTCTTTCCTTCATTCTCTCGACATGTGTCCCAAAAAATCATAAGTAACCACCTTCTTTTTTCTTCTTTTTAATTTATTTTAAATAATGAATTATGTCGACCAGCCTGTGCATTCAAAAGAATTAATACAGAAAACATGCTATCTGGCAAAGAGATAATAATGAAGTCTGAGTGTCTTGGCAAAGATCATCCTTCTTTTGAACCTTGTGGACTGGTGCTACAGAATCCCAAAGAACCGTATCAAATAATTGAAACCACATCACTTGTGGTCTACTGATAGTAGCAACAACCAAAATGGTTAGCACATGTAACTCTGAGAAAATAATGATGTTGACATTCCACACGACTTCAAACAAAAAGTTAAGAAGGAAGCCCCCAACAGTACCAGGCTTATGATCATATCATATTGAAACATTTCTTTTATGATCACTGAAGTTAAGCAAAGTCAAGCCTGGCCAGTACCTAGATAGGTGACCACTTGGGAATACCAGGTGCTGTAAGCTTGGATGTGCAGGTGGTGTAATGAATAATGGCTTGGAATTGGAAATCCGTAAGTGGAATTCCAATTTCAGTCAGGCTTGTTATATTCACTTACACAGAATATCCTTGGGAAAGGTATGGATCTACCTCGTCTTTCCTCCATCCCAGCTATGGGTTAATTAATACGACTTGTACCAGTAAATCCTTATCAAGATATTCTTAGACTATAAAAATATTTTCTGGCTTTAATCTGCAAATTCTGTTAAAACAAATTAATAAAACAAAAACCATTAGTAATAGAGCTATAACCGTGAAGTTGAGAAGTCTATTCCTCTGAAAAACTATTTTAAGAGAATTATTTTATATATTTATGCCGGATGCTTACGTATAAGGAAACGGCTAGTCTCACTAATAGGAAAAGTGATTTTCGTCTTTATAACTTTTGCCTTGTAGAATGTAAAATAGTTTCACAGACCTTTTGTGGAATAGGTTCCTGCAGAGATGCATTCCTGAACACTACAATCTTAACCTCTTCAAGTCAAGTATCCCGTGTTATCTATCCTCCTTATCCTCATAATCTTCACTTCCTAACACCTCCTTTTATTCATCTCATGCATCACCACCATTTTAACCCTTTGCCTGTCCTGTGCATCATGTGATGCACAGGACACGTGGTTTCCACGCCCGTGCATCATATGTGGTGCACACAAACCATAATTTTAAGAGTGGTAAAACTAAAGACTCTTAAGAAAATATATGACCACAGGACACTTGACTGATAATGTAAGGTCTTAAATGAAAAACATCTATTTTTTCCACTTTATTGAAATGATTATAACCTTTGCATCACATGTGATGCACAGTGTAGTGTAAATAACTTATGATCTGTATGTTCTGTGCATCACATGGGATGCACAAGTTTTTATTATTTGAAATACTATATATCAGCATATTCTATTTGCCAAATAAACTGAATTGCCTTGCAATACTTATAAATCTGAAAACAAGCATGAACATTTGGATAGTACACAGGAAAATGCCCTGGACATCCAAAGAGTTAATAAGCCTCTACACTACAATTTTATTAACCTTTTCAAGTCAATGGTCACTCGTTATGTCTCTTCCTTATCCTCATAATCTTCCCTTACCACCAACTTTTATTCATATATCCCACCTCTTTCCTAATAATCATCTTAACAGTAACCCTTTGCAATGAGTGTTTCTCAAGCCTTGTATTGGGTGAATTTCAATGTATGTATGTGCGTGCATATATATATATATATGTGTGTGTGTGTCTACATGAAAAACTACACATTAGTTTCTAAAAAATTAAAATTTATTAAATCAAAGACATGAGATAATGTTTTTTTGCCGACACCAACACCTTAACTAATTAGCTTAAAAAAATTTTTAATTTCAAATTCTATAAACAAGTTCAATTAAAGCAATAGGTTTAAAAACTTAACCCAATCATAAGCTAAAAAAAACCTTTAAGAAGTCAACAAAAAACAAATTGTAGTTCAATACAACATATTCATATACAAACAACACTTTTAGAAAAAAATTTTTCATGTATACAAATACACATTAAATGGTGTAACAAGTACCAAAAAACTTTGTCATTGAAATAGACCAGATGATATGCATTGAACGAATGTCCACATTCATTTGAAAAAAGGCACTCCGACCCAACCTTGACTTTACCTATTTTCTAAAGTAACTAATATGTTGATACAATAGTTGTCAAGGAAAATGAATACCCTACCACCCATTATTAAAATGCTTAGTTTTCTCCATATCCATAGAAATTAATATTACAAATATATATATATATATATATATATATATATATATATGTATAGCTCTGTAAATTTCAAAATTAGTTATTCTAAAATTCACTTGAGGATGAAACAGAACTAGGTACTTTAATTTCTATAAATGAAATTGACATTTTTAGCTTCTGTTTTTGAAACATGAGAACTCGTATGTAGTGATGGAATTATATTTTTAAAAAAATAATTATAATATAGGCTCTACTGTTGTAATGATCACTTTTTTACAAATAAAAAGATACGAAAGAACTTCAGATTATTAACCTAACAGTTCTTTCCTATTTTTCTGTATACTCACACACACACACACACACACACACACACACACAATTCAGTCTAATTTTATATTTTTAGTATTTTTTCAATTTATGAATAAGTTCCACATCCAAGTCAAGTTTGTAAAAAAAAAAAAAAAAAAATTCATGTTTTTGTTTAAGTACTTTCGACCATCTATCTTGTAGTTTAATTTTGTTTGGCCATGTTGACTAATTTTTTTTTAAAATTTTATTGTATTTATTTTATTTTCTTTTCTTTATTTTTATTTTTAGGTAAGTGCCTGATTGAATTTCCATTTGTTATGAAGTATGTATGCGATATATCAAGTTCTACAGGTAATTCACTTTGAAATGTTAGCATTTTCATTGGCATTTTTTTTGTTCTTTTTAGCAGTTATAATCAAAAGGTTTTTTTTTTCTTTAGTTCTCTTACTCATTCTCTCATCTGCTTCACCCCACTTTGAGGTGTGGCCTTCAAGAAACACTCCAATCATTTAACAAAAAAGAAAAAGAAAGGAATTATGGTAGCAATTGACCTGTCTGTGTCATTCCTGGAATTTGTCAAGATGTATAAAATGCTTTATGCATGTTACAAAATGTGTAACACATGTTCAAGGGTTGTGCAAATTGTGTTCTCTGTAAGCTAGGGTAGGACGGGTGCAAGACATTTGTCAGCTTCTTGCTGTGTTAATTGTCTGCGACTTAGATATTTCATTTGCTGCCTATACACATCGAGAGTTTAGCATTTTGCTATTTATAAGCATGTAAGGCATAATAGTTAACTTATGACTTCTTGAAAGTTAGTTTAATTTATAATGTTCAGCATATCACACAAGACTAATATACAACTATTAACACAAGAAAAAATTTGTGTGCATTAAAGCTTGTGTAGTATAAGGCTCGAGAGCTACTCAAGGTAGATGGTTGAAAGTACTTAAACAAAAAGCTGACTGTTTTAGTGTTTCTCTTCAAACTTTATTTGGATGTGTAACAACTTATTCATAAATTGAAAAATAATAATAAAAAATAATACCTAAATAAAAAAAATGAAACTTTTTGGTTGTGTGTGTGTGTGTATATATATATATATATATATATATATACACACACACACACAAACAAACACAAGTTCACTCAATACAAGGCCTGAGAGATGCTCATTGAAGAGTGTTACTGTTAAGATGGTTATTAGGAATGTGATATATGAATAAAAGGTCCTGGTAAAGGAAGATTATCAGGATAAGGGGGATAGATAAATATTGACTCTTGACTTGAAGAGGTTAATGAAATTGTAGTGTAGAGGCTTACTGTTGAAATGGTTTTGATGAATGAGGTGTGTGATATGAATGAAAGCAGAGAGGCTAGGAAGTGTAGATTATGAGGATAAGGAGGATAGATAAGGATGGATCCTTGACTTGAAGAGGTTAAGATTGTAGTGTTCAGGGAAGCATCCCTACAAGAGTCTTCCCTAGAAAGTAGCAGTTTTGTGAAACTATTCTATATTCTACTATTCTACATGGCATTCTACAAGTCTGACAAATATTTTAAGACATTTTTTATGTTTATACATTCTTTTTATAGATACAAATATTTAAGTAAATGCTCTGTTTATAATAAACAGTATTAACAACATTTACCGGCCTGAATGTTCGATTCCTGTCAGAAAATGAATATTTTTTATGAAAATTTCTCAGACATTCAGGCCGGTAAATGTTATTAATACCATTTATTATAAAACAGAGGTATCTATAGAAAGGATGTATAAACATAAAAAATGTCTTAAAATAATTGTTGGACATTGTCCATTTCATAATGTGTGACGTCATTTGTTTACATTTGGGCAGATGTCAATGTATGTGAGAGATTCATGGAAGATTGAAGTTTAAAAATAGTAAAATCGACCTTGCTAATCGAACAATTCTCCGTGGCTCGATTGGTTAAGGCACGTCAGGCTAAATGACGGTTCCATATAGGATACAGGTTTGATTCATGTCAGAGAACGAATATTTTCTATGAAAATTTCTCAGACATTCAGGCCGGTAAAAGTTATTAATACTGTTTATTATAAAACAGAGCATTTACTTAAATATTTGTATCTATAAAAAGAACGTATAAACATAAAAAAATGTCTTAATATATAAAACAGTCTTTCATGCTAAACGCAATAGGGGTATTTTCCTATTGTCCAGTTCACACTCCTCCTCAGTCTCTTGATCAGGAGTAGAGGTTCATCCCTTGTTTCCTGTTTAGGATTGCGTTTCCCATTCTTTTTAAAGTCTACTTCAACTCTATCCTCCTAATGTCTCCAGCTGAATTCTCAAATTTTATTCACTAATTAAATTTTGACCTCTTCAAGTCTAGAATTAGCTATCTTTTCTGTTATTTTGCCTTTTTTTATTCTAATGCAATTCCACTTAGTAATGTTTTACCTTGAGTGGCCCTTGGGCCTTATATTGGGTGAACATTAGTAAAAAGAAAAAAATAAATAAGGGCTATGTTAATATTTTATGATAGTATTTATCTTTTTATGATTAACGACTGGTGGTTAAGCCAAATAAATCTCAACTCCAAATGACCACACTGATGTGGTTTGTGATTTCCAAACAAATCCCCCTGGCAAGTGAACAAGTGTTTTAAATACCGTCTTTGTTTCCTACTGGATTCTTATGTTTCCTTCTCGGAGAATCTGGAACGAAACCAGAAAAGTCATCATGTCAGATCAATTCATTGATTCCCTCCCAAAGGGGAATCCTATTGCAGCTGGCAAACTGCAAATGTGCATCATGGGCAGCAGAAAGTATCTTTTGGCACTGGGAACAGACTAGAGAGAAAATGATATTTCTGAGTGGCTGTACGTGTTTTTTTTTTTTTTTTTTTATTTTTATTATTGTCTTAAATAGGGAAATTAATAACA